TGATGTGCACGCAGTGCATGTAGAAATTAACACAACATTTTCACATTATAATCACTAAGCCTAAATTAAGTTCAACCAATATTGTAAGATAACTCAAAAAAAGCAAATTCTTTCATGATAACATAGATCAAGAACCCGTAAATTTTAAATTCAACGTGCACTCTGTGCATGCAGGGAAAAAATTCTTTTTCAATCCCTGCCTCTTAGGTTTGTTCATTTCATGATGATATCTTCAATTCTCTAATTTTGGTGAATATTTTTGTCATTTTTGGTAAAAAGTAATATTTTCGACTTCTTGTTAAATACCGCAAGTCCAATTGCTTTGATATTACATATACATGTGGACCTCTCTCAGATTTGTTCATTTTGTAATGATATCTTCAATTCTCTAATTTTGGTGAATATTTTTGTCATTTTTGGTAAAAAGTGATATTTACAACTTCTTGTTGAAAACCGCAAGTCCAATTGCTTTGATATTACATTTATAGGTACTACATGTGGACCACTCTCAGATTTGTTCATTTCATGATATCTTCAATTATCTAATTTTGATGATTATTTTTGGTGAAATAAACAGCAAATCCCATTGCTTTGATACTATACATATTGTTAGTCTCCTTCGAACACAGTCTGAAAACGGGGACTTACGTTTTGACCTGTGTGTGTCCGTGTGTGCGTCTGTCCATGCGTGCATCCAGATCTGTATCTTAGAAATGCCTAGACCAATCACAATCAAATTTCGCACATACATCATACATGATATTATACATATGCACGTCAATTTGTTTCACGATCTGATTCAAGATGGCCGAATGGCAGCCATTTTTGTGCTAAAAATCATCAAAATCAAGCATTTTCCAGTTGTTTACAGATGGATTTTGTTCAAAATTGGCTAATACGTTAGACATTATAGAACCTTGATGCACTCTGTGTCATTCTGTTTTTCAGATATAATTAAAAATGGCCGACTGGCGGCTATTTTGTTTTAATGAATGTGGTTCTAGTGCCATATCTCTGACTTACTTTGACTGATTATGTTCAAATTTTAAATATTAATTATAGATCATGTCATAGATATACAGATATATTAGTTTGACGATCCTAATAAAAATGGACGAATGGTGGCCATTTTTGTGCTAAAAATCATCAAAATCAAGCATTTCCCGGCTGTTTACAGATGGATTTTGTTCAAACCTTGTATATACGTTGGACAATATATAGGACCTTGATGCACATCATTTTGTTTTTCAGATACATGTAAGATTCAAAATGACAGATATATTGGTTTGACGATCTTATTCAAAATGGTCGAATGGTGGCCTTTTTTGTGCTAAAAAATCAACAAATATCAAGCATTTTATGGATGGATTTTGTTCAAACTGTTCCTCATGCTTGTCATTTTATTTTTCAGATCAGATTTAAAATGGCTGACTGATGGCCAGTTTGTATTAATGAATGCAGCTCTAGTGCCATATCTCTGACATGCTTTGACTGATTATGTTCAAATTATATATATTCATTATACATGTTTTAATTAATGCTGTTCCAGAGCAATATCTCTCAATACTTGTTTGACGATCAGATATAAATGTCAATCATTTTTAATAATGTTGAACAATCATCATAATCATATTCCTGACATGTTTATGTTCCAGCTATATTACTATAAACAAAACTATACATCTTAAATTCGATAACTAACGGGGACTGTGCCATGCATGGCTTGTTCATTTTCTATCAGCCGACAGGCTGCTTGTTTTAGATCGGATTCAAAAAAGCAATATCTCTCAATATGGACAAGTAGTCATTTGACAATCAGATACTAGATGACTAAATGTCAATCATTTTAATGTTAGAAAATAGGCCAATGGCCTGTTGCTCAACGGCTATCGTACAAAAGATTAGTGCTGTATATGACAAATGCCCCAAAAGGCAGTGAGTGAGACAATAAAACATAATGCTAAAAGTGGAATTTTTTACAAAAATAACAGAAATATTCAATAAAATTAGAATCAAAGAGAGCTTAAAAAGAACTCCAGCATGTTGAGAGAATAACATAACATGATATTTGCAATTATCTGAATTCGTAATACATGTATATACCAAGTTTTGTTGAAATATGTTGAATGGTTCTTTAAATAGCAAATTAGATAATTTGCATAAATTTCCACCCAAAACTAAATATATCTGGAAACTTCCCCAACACATCTATGTACCAAGTTTTATTATAACTTATTAAATGGTTCTCAAGATATCACCAAAATAGCCTAAATATTGGTATGTAAATTAGGCAATTTGCATAATTTTCCACCAAAATCAATCATGTCTATACACATTTAAATATCTTGAGTGGTTATGTTTTCATAACAATCACAATAGACCAATCAAAGAAAACTTAGAACTCCCATGTGCTATGTGAGAATGAGAAACTGTTGACAAAACAAATGGGAAACATTACATATCTCCCTGTGAGCATATAATTTCAATATGGCATCATTGTATAATCTTCCCAAGTTTTTTCCATTTTCAGACAACTGTATTGCATTAAGGAGAAGGTAATAAAAAAAATCATGAATAAATTTGGCAACTTTTAGTGACTGGGTGAAGTGTCATCCAAGCTACATGTGTACCAAGTATCAAAGAATTTGGACTACTGGTTTTGAAGAACAAGTCAAAAGTACTATTTTTGATGAAAAATGACAAAAAATATTCGCTAAAAATAGAAAATTGAAGATATGAACATGAAATGAACAAATCTGATAGAGGTCCACCCAAAGTATATACCACACAAGTTTCAGTGCAATCGGACCATCAGTTTCAGAGAAGAAGTCGAAAATAGCATTTTTGACCAAAAATGACTATTTTAAAATATTCGCCAAATTTTTGAGTTTTGGGGGGCTAATTTGCATAATTGTTGGCAGATCAACTTCTCATGAACAAATTACCATCCACATTCATCTACACACCAAAAATCGAGTTAAGCGGTTCGGCGGTTTTTGAGAAGTCGTACACGCACAGACAGACATGGTCCGTTGAGCCAAAAATCATCATAATCAAGCATTAGCTTCTGGATCCATATCTCCGACATGTTTATGTTCCAACTATATATCTAAATTTTGATAATTAACGGGGACTGCCATGCATGGCTTGTTTAACTAAACTATCCGTAAAACAAATTAAAATAATTACATGAATGTATATTAATTGTATATTATTTTTGTGCCTCTAGTATTACAGTAAACCACAAATATGCTACGTCTATGATGGAAAATATGAAACAACATCGGGAGACATTGTACTGATCAAAGAGCTGCCTGTACCAAGATCTGCTAAAGTCAGACATTCACTGGAAAAGATAGTCTACCAAGTTGGTCGTACCATTGATCCTATAACACGCAGGAGGTGCACCTATTTCTCATACCTAGATGATGCGGGAACGAAACAGACAATGGATGATGTGGGCAAGAATCAAACAAATGCTGACATGGAATAAATTACACAGGATATAAACCAATTACATTAGGACTGAGGAAGGAACACCTGTTTAATTCGATGCAAGATATACTAATCTGATTTGTTACTGTTTTTCACGCCCGTTCAATGTGTCACATGTTTTTCAGCACCATAGTAACTCTCAAATTCTCTCACAAAATGACCCTAGATTTCCAAGAGGACTGGGAAAGCATTTTATTGGTTATATATTATTGGTTTTACTGTAGTTCTCTGTACCTTTTTATCGTCGATATGATTATTTCATCCATTGTGGAAATGATCTAAAAAGGACAAGCTGAATTGTAAATTTCATGCTGAAAGTGGTCATTTAGGCCACAGCCATAGATGTTTCTACAATTGGTAGGTCCTAATTTGTTACATATCATAAAGGGTGATTGTAATTGCACAGCGGATGTTTAAATTTCATATGAAATTCATATAGGATGAAATAATATGCACGTCTGATGTGAAAAAATAATTCTTTACTGTAATAAACCATTTTCATAGCAATGAAGTCAGTTTTACACTTTAATATTCAAATCTTATCTAAGGAGTTGACCCATACCATGGTGGGGGAGGGTCTTACAGACTGAACCTGTATCTCAAACATGTCTGGTTCAATCACACACGTTTCACTTGGGTTACATGTGCAGCTCCATTCATTTCAAAATAGCTGTATGATAGCCATATTTGTGCTAAAACCAACATAATCAAGCAGTTCAGTCATTCCATAACTGTGTGTACAGA